ACTGCCCCAGGAAGAGGACCGAGACTTGCTGAGGGGCCTGCAGACACCAAAGGGAACAGAAATCACAGAGTAAGAAGGTAGTGATAGACACCAGCTCCGACCTCCTGAGCACTCACAGAAATGAGGAATTTCCACAGTGCTCACCTAACAGGCTTCCTGTGTAAAATGATGGTGACAGGCTTAGTGTTATTAGTTATATATGGTTAAACCCGTGTTATAATGTTGTCGTAAAATGTTAGGAGAACGAATCACCTTGAGAACTACCCCTGGCTTCTCGGGAGGGAATCAGTGTGTCCATCAGCACCCAGGAGAGCTGCACCCCGACAGCTGTGACTGTGGACTTGCTTTGTATCTGGAGTACAAGGAGTTTAAGGAAACGTGTTTGTGGTCAAGTTGTCACAGGGTGGATGTGACAGTGTACTGGCTGTGTCAACTTGAGTAAGAAATGCCCGACTGCCTTGTGTCAGAACCATTCTGAGTGTGGCTGAGGGATTCACTACAGACAGGAGACCCACCCTGGAGCTTCACCTCCCCTTCTCCTGTTTCCCCCTGCAGAGGACACAGAGCACAGCAAAACAGACTCAGTAAAAGTGCTCATGGCTCCCATTTATTGCTGCCCTCACACATTGGAAGTTAATAAACAGGTCAACCACTCGTGTCATTAACTTGAAATAAAGCAAATGTATATTGAGAGTCTTACATTAAAGACGTGCTATGTGAATTTCCTGGAAAGATGTAAAGAAACCTCTATCTCTGAAAATGACCATCTTTACAAGGCACGACTCAGAAACCCTCTTGTTACAAAGCAAAACTATTTTTCTAAGCTATTGGATTTATTGTGGGGCTGTTAAAATAAAGGCAGAATCAGAAGCAAGAGGGTTCCTGGGGGAAGCTGTGTGCACTCCGCTCCATCTCATCCCTGTGAGGAGCCGCCCCAGCCCACGCCTGCTGGAACAGGAGCTGAGCAGGAGAGAACAGGTGTAAGCGTGGGGACAGGAGTCCTGCTGCCCAGGGCCAGCTGCTCTCCTCACAGCCCTCCCCGATGCCCACAGGAACATGGACACACTCAGAAGGTGACTCGGTGATCTTGAGGTCACAGAGCGTGGGCTGGAGAAGCGTGGAGTGGCTCAGTCATCTGCAAGGCAGCTGTCTCACGCTACAGGACAAAAGGGTTATAAATTCAGGGCCAGGCTCCACGTGGCACCATCCTGAGAAGCCCACTGAGAGAGAAGCTCTCTGCACACAGGAGGGGATCTAGACATGGAGGCAGGGGATGGAGCGGGGGCACAGAGAAGCAAAAAGCAGAGACAAGTTACACATGAGCACCAGCTCCCCAGGGTGCACACAAACACCGGGCACAGCACCCAGGTCCTGATAAACACTAACAGAGGAGCCCGCTGCTCACACACAGGGCTCACAGTCAGACAGGGTCCCTGCTGTGTCCCCTCTGCCTCAGCCCATCTCTCCCACTTCAGGTCCCCCGGGGTCTCACCTTTACCAGCCATGAGAGAGGAATCAGAGCTCTGGTCACTGTCACCCCCTGGGTGGAAAATGTAACGTAAAGTCCTCAGAACCCAGCAGACATGGGGAAGGGGATCATGAGGTGGGGATCCCAGGGCTCCTGGCTACAGAACCCCAAGGCTCTCAGGCATCAGCCCCCCATACTTACTTGCAGCCTGAGTGTAGCTCCCTCCTTTTACACCTGTGGGAAGAAAATGTCCTCCTGTGAGAAGCCAGGGAGGAGGCAGGGCCTTGACAGCCAGGAAGAACTGCCCAGGTCAGGACCTCAGGGAAGTTTCCAGAACTGGGATGCAGACTCAGGGAAGGATCAGAGGCACCAGGGGAGGATCCGTTCAGGACCTGTACTGACTGCCCTCCTGAGGCTCTGTCCTAGCAGGGACCTTCCTGCTGGGAATCAGGGTCCCATCACAACCCTCTGGGTAACCAAGCTGTCCCTTACTGTCCCTGTTTCACAACAGGCTTGGTGTCCAGGACTCCAGGCTGGGCAAGCATGTGTATGGGGAGGGGGCGCCCCACAGGGGGGTGGGGTGCACTTCTCCCTGGGGCTGAAACAGGAAGAGACTGACCCCACCCCTACCTGCTCTCCTCCTCCTCCACATCACAAAGGTGACTCCAGTGAGCACAGCTACAAGGAGAATCACAGCAGCAATGACCCCCAGGATGGAGATGGAGAGCAGAGGAGTGGTCTCTGGGGAGGGCAGGGGAAGGAAAGGGGGAGAAAAGAAGGAAAGAGGAGGTGAGGGGCTCTGCTTGTATCTAAGTGGACCCCAAAGCCTCATGCAAATGTGAGCATTTGGAAGCTGACTGCAGTGTGGGGCTCAGAGCTGACTTGCTGTTAGGAGGTGGGGTCTGGGGGGAGAGGGGGGCTCTGAGGGTGTGGCTCAGTAGAGTTTCTCTCCTTCCTTGGCTCCCCCATTGCTCTCTCTGCTCCCTGTCTGCAGTCCCCTGAGCAGCTCTCCATGGCCAGAACCCTCTGCCCTGCAGTGCTCCCTGGGAACAAGGTGAGTTTTAACTGAAATGTCTACAAACTTGGGAGCCAAAATAAATCCTTTCTCCTTTAATCCTTTCTCCCATATCTGCTGGGCCTCTCACATGTCCTGTTACATTTTCCCCCAGGAGGTGACAGTGCCCAGGGTTCTGATTCCTCTCATGGCTGGTAAAGGCATCAGATATTGTGTCCTAGCAATGACCAACATGGACCCTAGCCCCAGCTCTCCAGCCCAGCCTGCTGGGTGTCTCCAGAAAGACTCCTGCCTTCAAAGAGAAGAGCTCCTCTGCCTTCGCCTGTCTTTTTCTTTTTTTTATCAGTATCAGGGATCGAACTCATGACTGTGCGCTTGCAGGGCAGGCCCTTATGCTGCTGAGCTTAATCCCCAGTCCCCCTCTCCCCTCTGTCTTAATCCCTTTCTTGTTGCTGAGACAAAAAACCCTACACCTTTATGTTAAAGGAGATAAGGTTCATTTCAGCTCAATTTGTAGAGGTTTCAGTCCACAGTCAGGAGACTTCAAGGCAGGGAGGCCTGGCAGGGCCATCACAGAGGAGAAACAGCCCACAGCATGCAGGCAGGAAGCAGCAAGCTGGCAGCTTCCCCCTCTTCACCGAATTCAGGCTGTGAGGCTGTCGGTGGATCCCACTCACACCCAGGCTGGGTCTGCTGTCTTCCCTAATCCACTCAGCCACACCCAGAACAGCAGAGTGATCCAGTCATCACACCCTGCATCCAGGGTCACAGGGTCACACACACATTTCGTCCACCTCTGACAAACCCCACCTATGAGCATGAGGCTTTGGAACATCATCTAGACACAAGACATACCACCCCCCTTACCCCATCTCAGGGTGCGGGGCTCAGGCAGCCCCTCATGCTGCACACGGCACATGTAATTCTGCTCCTCTCCAGAAGGCACCACCACAGCCACCCGCTTCTGGAAGTTTCCATTCCCATCAGGCCTGGTCTCCACCAGCTCCATCTCCTGGGTCAGCTCCTGCCCATCCCGCTGCCAGGTTAGGGAGATGTCCTTAGGGTAGAAGCCCAGGGCCCAGCACCGCAGGGTGACCTGTTCCTTGGAGATGGGGTGGCGGGTCACATGTGTCTCAGGAGGGTCTGAGGCGAAGAGAGGAAAATTCAGGCACTTTGCCTTCTTCCTGGGCCACTCTAGTAAAGGCTCCTGTGACTTCCTGAGAACCTTAAGGACAAGTGGAGTTGGGAGATTGTAACCCTCAGAGACCAGGCTGGAAACAGGCATCTGGAATACTCTATTCCTCGGACAGTTGTAGACTTGGAATGAGTCCGCCTGGGCAGAAGACTCCAGGTCTCTGGGGGAGGAAAAGGACCTCATCCCTGAGTGAGTGGAGACTGAGAGGCCTGAATAAGCATAGTCAGAGCTCCACAGACACTGGGTGTGGGGCACAGCACAAGCCTGAGAGAGCTCAGGTTCACAGCCTCCTGAAGGGCAGGGTGAGCAGCACCTCAGGGATCTTCCCCTCCCATGAGGGACAGACTTTTCCTCTCCTGAGAGAAGGGGGCTAAGGGGGGTGATCTGTTATCAGCTGTGCAATCCCAGGGGCGCTCTTCCCCAGGACAGGAGATGGCAGCAGTACTGGGGAAGGGTCCCGTTTTCCTCCTAGGGAGACACCTGTCCAGCTAGAGCTCAGATGGGGAGGCCCTCAGGGCCGGTACCTGCGCGCTGCAGCATCTCCTTCCCGTTCTCCAGGTATCTGAGGAGCCACTCCACGCACTCCTCCTCCAGGTAGGCCCTGGCGTGCTCTGCCTCCCGGGCCTCCATCCACTTGCGCTGTGTGATCTGAGCTGCAGTGTCCGCCGCCACCCAGGAGCTCAGGTCCTCGGCAAGGGCGATGTAATCTTCCCCGTCGTGGCCATACTGCATGTACACGCGGAGGAAGCTTCCATCAGGCCCCACCTGGCAGCCGTACACCATCTGGAAGGTGTGAGAAGCTGCCCCGCCCCCACCCGGGATTTTCCTGCCAAACTCAAAATGAAACCGAGTCGCGGTCCCCGCGCTTCCAGAGGCCGGGGTCTCCCGCCATCAACCTCAGTCGTGGACACCTGGGACCATTGGGACCCTCCGCGGGGGCGGGCACACCCCTCTGACCCGGCCGGGGTCACTCACCGTCCGCGCTCTGGTTGTAGTAGCCGCGCAGAGTCCTTAAGTCCACTCGGTAACCGTGTGCGTGGCCCTTGGCTCTCTGTGTCTCTCCGTCCCAATACTCCTGACCCTCCCGCTCCATCCACGGCGCCCGCGGCTCATATCGGGGGCTCTCGGCGTCACCGTCGAAGCGCACGAACTCCGTGTCGTCCACGTAGCCGACCTGCATGTACCGGGGCTCCCCGCGTCCGGGCCGGGACACCGCGGTGTCGAAGTAGCGCAGGGAGTGCGAGCCTGCGGGGCGGGGCGGTGAGACCGCGACCTCCTCCCGGCCGGCCCCGCCGCTCCCGCCGCCCTGCGCCCGCACTCACCCGCCCAGGTCTCCCTGCGGAACAGGATCCCGGGGAGCAGCAGGAAAACGGCTGGGAACGCCGTGGTCCCCATCCCCGGAGGTGACAACTTAAAATTGGTCTTTTTTTTTTTGAGACGGGGTCTCGCCCCCGTAGCTCAGGCTGGCCGGGGACTCCAGGGGATCCCTCTGCCGCAGACCTCCGAGCGCAGGCAGGGTTTCTGTGTGATAAGTGCTAACTGATACATTCAAGGAGGAAACGTTTACTGGCCGATGATTGGCTTCTCTGTAAATCCAATACCCAATAAGAGCGAGTCTTGGTTTGAATCACAAGTGTCCGGGTAGAAGGACCTGACAGTTGTGATTAAAAAATAGAGCGGGCGTGGCGGTCCCAGCACTCTGGAGGCGGAAGCAGGAGGATCCTTGGGAGTTCGAGACCAGCCTGGGCTACAAAATGAGCCCAAACCCAGCCTGAACCGCACAGCAAGATTGTGTTCCTAAAAGACCAAAAAAAAAAAAAAAAAAAAAAAAAAAAAAGAAAAAGAAAAGGGTCCCTGCGGCTCCCGAGCGCCACCCAGCGCCACCAAGGCAGCTCCTCAAACAGTGCAGACGCCGCGTGCTCAGTCAGATCTGGAGCCCTGAGCTTGCAGCTGTTCCCGAGCTCAGTGACCAAGAAAAGTAAAGGTTTCCAGTCCATTTGGGGCATTTGGGCGGCAAAGACAGCACGGCCAAGGCACGAGAAAGGCCTTCGGAACTGCTTCAGAAAGTGGCGGGAATGAGGGGCCACTGTCAGAATTAGCCAGGAGACATCCGGAGAGCGCACGTTTATGTGAGTCATACCAATATGGGTCCGAACAGGCTTTTGGAAAATTTTACTCATTCGAATAACGCTAAAATGCCATTACACGTATAAAGTAATATACTGTAATGAAAAAAGCTAGTTTCCAAAACAACGTAGTCAGAAGAGGGATCATTTTGCACTCTTTTCTGTCTCACTGGAAGGTGGCTGCGCTTTCCTATCTGCATCTGCATCCATTCCTTTGAATCTGCTGTTACGGTTTCCAGAGAGACATTTTATGTCCCCCCTCCCTCCCCTTCCCCCTCTTACTGCGCCCCCCCCCCCACTTTCTCTTTTCCCCTTGGGTTTCTGCTCCTTCTTACACTTTCTGAACTCTCTCTCCAGCCCTGGTCTCTCGTTTAGAGGGAAAAGCGTACAGAAGAATCCAGCCTCACGTAAGCACTGAAGTGGAAAAAGGGTTATTTTAATAGCTTTTCTCGAGCGAGGGCAGGTTTTCATCTCTGAGGTACAGGACAGCCGCACAAGTGGCGGCACCGTGTGGTTCCCGGGGATTTGCAGACAGCACGGGAGGGCAAACCAAGCTAATGAGGTAGCTGTCACTTCACTGCCTGGATTTTATGGCCACACACTTGAAATCTGTGCTGGGTTTTGAAATATACCTTCACCCTGCTGAACAACAGACCGCACACGGAGCTCCTCCTGTGGGCCACTCGGGCCCTTCTCTCAGGAACTCCCTGTTTCTTCTGCCGGCTTCTGTTAGCCCACTTGTTACTTCTGCAACAAGTGGTGGTTTCTGAAAACTTAGCTATAGGGCTGGGGACGTAGCTCAGAGGCTCGTCAGCTGCCCTGCAAAAGTCCTGAGTTCCATTTTCAAAATGGAAACAACCACCCCAAAACCCCTAAGCTTGGGGAAGCTGTCAATCCTGAAATAGTAGATTTCTAATTTCCAAAAGATATTTTTTCGTGTGTGATTTTAAAATCGTATCGGTGCACTTTAGATATACATGATGGTGGCAGTCATGGTAGGGAATGTGGGCCTGTCGGGCTTCTCCTGCTTCCCTTCCCTTCCCCTCCCCTCCCCTCCCCTCCCCCTTCCCCTCCCCCCTCCCCTCCCTCCCCTCCCTCCCCTCCCTGCAGCCTCTCTTCCTGCCTCACCTACAAAGCTTCCTTTCCATTTTCCTTTCTGTTCTTTTTCCCTTGTCTCTTCCTTCCTTTCCTCTCCCCGCATGTGTTCCCCTTCTCATTTGAATATATTTTTTCCGTTTCTCAGTATCTGTCATACATTTTGGTCCTTATTTATACTTTGGGTTTCTCACATCAGAAAAACAAATGATATTTAAACAACACATGTCCAATTTATTTCATTTAAGAGTATCAGTGACCCCTCACCTGCCACTAGAGTTGGGTTCCAGAGACCCCCACAATCAGTGAAAATCTGCGAAGTAGTGGCGTTACGTTTACTTTATAATTTATATATGTTTCATGGCTTTATAAACCCTCCTCACACTTCATAAGCTTTTCCCACACTCTCATTTACACTTTTTATATGTTTTTATACTGTTTTAAATTTTTAGGCAAAAATAATTAAAACCATAAATATTATATACATACCTATATATCCCCAAATCCTGAGATATAGTAAGAACTCCATGAAGCTGCAATGCATCAACCACAATATAGCAAGCGACCCAGGTCTCAAAGTGCTTCTGTTTACCTAGACATTACTCAAGGTTAACCTTCTTCATGGTAGAGTAATACTCTGTTGTAGTAAAAAAAAAAAACCCACATCTTTGTGGTTGTGACGATGGATTTTTGAGCTGTTTTCAAGATTTAGTTATTATAAACTATTCGGTTATAATCATGAGTGAGCATATATTGCTGTTTTTTTCCTAGTTTTTCTGAGGACTATCCATGCTGATTTCCACAGTGGCTGCAGCAGTCTATACTCCCAGCAATATAGGAGTATCGTTTGCCCCCGCAGCTTCCCCAGTATTTGATGTTGGTTATTTTCTTGATGATGGGCATTCTTTCTTTTTTTTTTTTTTTTTTTTTTTGCACTGAGTGATCACTCATTGGCTGCTTTATTTTATTTATTGGTACTGGGGATCAAACTCACAACCACGTGCTTGCAAGGCAGGCACTTATGCTGAGCTAAATCCCCAGCGATGACATTCTTTCTGGAGTGAGGTACAATCTCAGTGTTGGTTTAATTGGAATCTCAAATGACCAATGATATTGAACATCATTTGTATATCTATCTGCCATTTCTACTTCTTTATCTGAGAAGTGCCTATTATGTCAGATGCCCATTTTTAGACTGTATCTTGAAATGTGGGTGAAGGTTTGATTTTTTTAGTTCTTTATATATTTTAGATGTCAGGGCCAGGGATTTAGCTCAGTGGCATAAGTGTCTGCCTGGCAGCTGTGAGTCATGAGTTCAAGCCCTATAAAATGTATTTTCCATGTTAACTGTTTGTCTGAGGAACAAACTGTTGGCAAAAAAATGTTCCCCACACTGTGTGCTGTCTCTTCACTCTGTTGGTGGTTTCCTTTGTAGTACAAAAGATTTTTAATAAAATGAGATTCCAGTTGTTGATTCTTTGTGATGTCTCCTTTTTCAGACTACTGTAGTTTTTCAATGTGGCAAGTACATAATAAAATGAAAAAAGAAAAACTACTCTCCCTACCCTCTACACACAACAAACAAGAGAGAAAACAGCCCACTTGCAGGTTTGTCCCTGGTGTCACTGGTAAACAACATGTGGAGACAGCTTCCAGATCTGTGTTGATTTACCCCAGCAAGTGAGCAGTAGCTTTATGGTGGGCAGTGGGTAACCTCAGTGAGCCCGTGCCTCAGTTTCCCCTGAGGTTTTCCCAGCCAGCTCACCTTCTGTGGATTTGAACTCAGCTGGGAGCCACTAGATGGACCCAGCAGCTGTCCTGAGTCCCGAGCTCAGCCATCCCCTCCTAGGTGGCCCCAGGATATTGCTATCTCCCTCAGGACAACTGAGCCCTCAGCACCTACCCCCAGCTGGCGCAGTCCTTCATGTCTACTGCCCCCTCTACTGCTGCATCTCTCTGGAAGCCTCTGGGGTGGCCAGCTGTGGCTGTGTGTCTGCAGGTCTGAGCTGCTCCCCAGAAGTGAGTCCCGAGTCAGGAAACACACGGCCTGCCCCCGCCTTCCTCTTTGCTGAAGTCCTCTCCTCACTGCCCCTTGGGTTCCGTTCCTACCTCGGGTCCCTCCTGGGTGCAGGCTCCCACTTCCCTTCGTGTCTTCCTCGTGTTGCTGTATTCCACACCTGGACAGCAAATCTCACAGAGGCTTTTCTCTGCTGCTTATCACTCTGTTTCCTGAAAGTCTATCATTTGTGATTTTTTTTTAATTTTAAAGGGAGGAAAACAGAACAGTAAAGTGAAACAAAAGGGTGACAGGACAGCAGGAAATCCACAATAGTTAGCATAATGTCTAATCTTGTCATCTAATTGCTCAGGCTACTGGCCCAGGCTTGGAATTCAGTCAAATGACTGCTCACTTCAGTTACTATCATCTCAGCCTGTGTCACACCCCGGTGCTCCTAGCGGGGAGGAGGGAGGCGGAGGCAGAGTGGCTTCCTCGCTGGCTCTCCCGGCCACCAGGGCCTGCACTGCTGCACAGCGTGTGGGGTCTCCTGTCATTCGCTTTTAAGCATGAAAGTGGTGTTTCGTAAGAAAGTCTCGTTCAGCTAACACAAGTTAGTTTCCTGGAGACAAGCAGTATTTTGGAATGTAGCATACCCACTTCCTGTCTGCTTTCCACTTCATCCTGTTAAATGGTGCACAGATGCAGAACCAAGGATGATTGTCTAATATGGTTAATTTTTACTGCTTCAATAAATACTTGACTGTGATATTGCAGAGACTGAGTCTTGCCTAGGTGCTAGCAGAATTACCTCAGTGCAAACGTCAGCACAAGGAGAAAGGTGAACGCTGTCTTGGTAAAGCTGTGCCATTGCCTTGGCCTCATGTTAGGTCCCATCAGAGCCTCCTACTGACTGTAGAGGATCCTGACCCTCATCCTGACCCTGCAAGGATTCACAGAGCACACTCCAAGAATGACGGAGTGAACCCGGGAGTCTCCTAATGGGTCTGCCTCCCTTCACTTTCCAGAATCCCGTCCTGTGAGGTGGACTGCCCCCAAAACTCATCGTGCAGCTCTATCTGCCTCTGGACTCTTCTAGAAGACAGTTTATCCTCTAAAAATCTGATTTCTATGTTTGCAGTCAGAGGACCGGGGAGGAGGACAATTGTTTCTCCCTTGGAACAGGAAACATTTTGTGTCTGAAGGCACCAGATAGAGATTCACTCCGGATCCATTTGGGTTTGTTACACAGAACCTTAATACTTATCCACATCCCAGACTGTGGGGAGCTGTGCAGTCCACAGAGGA